TAAAGGCGCGTTCATACGCATCGGCGTCGGTTTGTCGTTTATCGTTTCGTCAAACCAATAAAATTGAAATACGATCTGTCATTTTTGAAATAAACCAATAAAACTGGTTATAAACAACAAGAGACGACGTATGACGGATTTATATTTAAACCCATCCATAGTTAACTTAAAAATTATTAGAAACTTTTTTTAGTAAAATAAATAGATTGGTATTGGACGTCATCTGTTTTTCTTCTGTCATCGTCTGTCGAAATCTTACCTGAGAAAAAAAACAGAGTATACGCATGGTTTGCATACTCCCCCTACAAACTGTTTCATAACTACTGAACACATATTGGCCTTGTTTGCCAGTTGAATAAAAAATTATTTATTAAGATTCGGAGGCCCCCTAAAAGACGGGGCCCGGGGCGGACCGCCCCTTCCGCCCCCCCCCCCCTTTAGTCCGCCACTGATAATTTAGCTAGAATTGCTTAAAAAATCATCAAAATCGGTCCACTAGAGAACATGAAAATTTTAAGGTTCCCGTTTTTTGTGCCAGTGTTGGTACAACACTGGCACAAAACATGTACAAAGATGGTACATGTTTTTTGAAACACCCTGTATATAAAACAGGACCTAAAGAAAATTAAGCTGGATGCCAAATGAATATAAATTTCAGAAATGTGAAAAATTGGAAGGCAGAACAAATAAATGCAATTTGCAATTGGTCACAGCGTTTATGAAGTTATTAAATTGGTAATATGGCTTATAAATTAAAAAAAAATAAAACGCGTTCGGACAAATAATGCGAAACACAATATCGATGGCTATCGTAAAATTCTTATGCGATTATTTAAAAGTCACGGTCAATGATATGGTCGGCGCGATACTTAGCGGGTGTCACGGTGTCACCGTAAAATATTAAATTGTAATTACTGTCAGAATACCTGATATCGACCTCGAAAGAGGTCTTTGAATTAATCCTCGTAAACGTATATACAAGAGGAAATCGCCGAGGTTGAGTTAATATACTGAAAAAAACATTTATATTAATTTTAAAATAAGGCAAATAAGTACAGAGTATTTCAAACTTGTACATAATGTATAATAGATATTGTCTATACCTGGGGTGTCAGCCCATCAAGGGATAGAAGTTAATGAAAAAACAAACGATCTAGCTAGAATAGAAATGAACACTCCCCCTACTTATTGGACCAGAACCGTTCTGCTTCTCAACAGGAAACCAACTTAAAGGTTGATTCTCACTATACCTTCCGTTTCCATTCCATATCCGTTCCGTATTTTTTATTATATTGACGCTATACTTAAGCTTCCGTTTCGTATCAGTTCCATACTTTTTATTGTACCGGGTGGGTCAAATTCGACGCTTTTAATGGAAAAACCCTTTTCTATAGGAGATAGACAAAAACTAATATCGGTGTCTGGAGCTCAATTTTTGTCAAAAACATGATGGTGAAAACCACATATCGATATCTGTTACCGTTTCGGAGTTACGGGATGTTTTTCAAAAATATGCATTTTTAATAAATCGCTGTAACTTTTTTGCTATGGAAAATTTTGTATTTTTATGAAAACATTTCCAAAGTACCTTTTTACGTAGAATTTTATAGTTTAAGTATACTTTTTTTAAAATTAACAATTTAAGAATTATCAACAGAAAATTTGATTTTTTATATGGGACACCCTGTATATTTTTAGTTTATTGAAAAGAATTTAAAATTACCTTTCCAAAAATATCACACTTGATATTTTGCTCGATTCCTCTTCGAGATATAGAGTATATAAAAATTTGCCCGCTTTATATGAGTAGGCTTTGAACGGCACCGGCTATAATGCAAAAAATTCAAGCTGTGAGCATCAATTAAAACGAAAATAATATTTGTTATGAGAGATGCAGAATTTTATAACAATTTAAAATATATTTAACCAACATCAACACATTTAAACTATATCTAATAACAATAAAAATAAATAGCAAACCAAGACATGAAATTTTGCTACAGGTGTTCGACATATCGACCGTCTTCTGTTATGGACAGACGGGGAGTTTCCGCAGAACAGTTCTTGCGGAATTCATTAACTCAGTGGGGGTAAAAGATACCCTCTCATAACTGCTAAGTATTTCTAATTCTTGTCTCGATTATACGGAATAAGGAACCTTTATTCTTCCGCAAATATATCCATAGGATTAAATCCATGGGCACTAAGTCAGGCTACCAACGGCTGGGATCTTGGTTAGTTATTCAATTATTCTTGAAATTGGGCGCAAAAACTTGCTGATAACTTCAGCGTTCAGAGGCGGTGCATCGTCTTACTGGAAAAATATGTTTTCGAGTTCCATTAAGGGCATATATCATCAATAAGGGGTCCAAAGCCTACTAGTTAAAAGTGGCAAACTTTTAAAAATTCTGTATTTCGAAGGGGATTATAACAAAATATCAAGTGTGCTATATTTTTGGAAAGGTAATTTTAAATTCTTTTCTGTTAATTAAAAATATAGAGGGTGTCCCAATTAAAAAATCAATTTTTCTCTTGATAACTCTTAAATTATTAATTTTAAAGAAATATACTTAAACCATTAAATTCTACGTAAAAAAGTGCTTTGGAAATGTTTTCATAGACATACAAAATTTTCCATAGCAAAAAAGTTACAGCGATTTGTTAAAAATGCACATTTTTGAAAAACACCCCGTAACTCCGAAACGATAAAAGATATTGATGTACGGTTTTTACCATCATGTTTTTGTTGAAAATTGAGCTCCTGACACCGATATTAGTTTTCGTCTATCTCCTATAGAAAATGGTGTTTCCATTTAAAAGCGTCGAATTTGACCCACCCTGTACAATTTATATCATTACGAAATTTTTATTTTAAAAATTTGTATCATTTGATAAAGATAATAGATTTAATTAAGACGTGAAAGAATAAATAAATAAATATCAGCAAAATTTTAACAGAGCTGGTAAAAATGTAAGAAGTTGACAACGCTGTTTCCGATACGCTTCAGTCTGTCCGCCAAAAATGTATGGAAGGAAAGGATATAGAACGGAAGGGAAACGGAACGGATAGTGTGCATTGTCCTATTTATTTACATGATATAATATTTTATTTAAACGGAAGAGAAACGGTAGGGGAGCTGATATGGAAGGTATAGTGAGAATCAACCTTAAAGCGGAACTCAAGAACCTAGAAGACTCCATCCTTAACCTGGAATGGGAATCCCCCAACGGTCAAAATTTTCATTGAATTAAGTAAGGACAATGTTGGGATTGTCACCGGGTTTTTAAGAGGACACTAAATCCTCAATAAACACTTCAGTAGATTAAAACTAAAAGACAATGGCAAATGCAGATTCGGCGAGGAAACACCAGAACACCTCATCACTGTCTGCACCGAGACGACAACCATTCGTGCTATAACTTTTAGTATGACTGATATCGGAGATGAAGAACTAAACTCTGTAAATCTGTCTCAGATACAGGCTTTTGTCAAAGCCTTGAGACTATTAAAAAAAGTGGTCGGCCAAGGAAAACAGCGAAAAAAATTGAAATGATAATTAAAAAAATCGCTTTAACTAATCCGCATAAATCGACAAATCAAATTTTGAGTGAACTACCTGGTGTCAATATAAGCTCTAAGATCATCCAAAGAAGGCTAAGAGAAGCAGGATTATTTAGCAGGAAAGCAGCCAAAAAAACACTCATCAGTAAGAAGAACCAGAAGGCCCGACTTATATTTGCAAACAAATATTTGCACTGGTCGACGAATGACTGGAAAAAGGTACTGTTTTCAGATGAAAGCAAATTCTATATATTTGGATCCGATGGCATATCGTGGATGGACATCACCCAGAAGGGAAAAGGTTTGATCCAAAGTATACCAAGGCCACTGTAAAGCATGGTAGTGGATCTTGCATGGTTTGGGTACAGCATGTAATAGGAACAATGGATCGATTTATGTATTTGGACATCTTAAAGAAAGTGACGATTCCGTTTGCTGATGATAATTTGCCTTTAACCGGGATATTTCAGCAAGATAATGATCCAAAGCATAAATCGAAAGTCTCACAAGAATGGTTTTTGTCTGAACAAATTAGAGTTATGGACTTTCCTGCCCAAAGTCCAGAACTTAATCCCATTGAAAACCTGCGAGAGAAACTAGATCGCCGGGTAAGACGAAGTAACATTAGCAATAAGAAAGATTTGATTAGAATTTTGAAAGAGGCCTGGAATTCCATTGAACCAGATACCATAAGAAAACTATTGGACTCCGTGCCAAAGCGATGTGAAGTTATAGCTAATCACGGTTACTCTCCCCATTATTAATTTTGTTAGGTTAGCAACAACTATGTACTTGTAATTTTTATATTAAATTTTAGTTTCTCTATTTTTGTCTATATGGTTTTTTATTTAATTGAATAAAATCTTAAGTTTTCGTGAGATATGTGATTATTTCATTTAAATAAGAACAATTTAAGTATCTCTAATTTTAACTATGCATAAAATGGCCTCAGTCCCGGCGTTAACAAAAAAAGACACAATTTCAAAAAGTTTCTCTACTTTTGTCCGATAGTATATTTCAGAGTAACAAATTTCAAGAAAAACGGTTTACCATTGTTTTTATGAAGGAACAAAATATATTATTTTTATTTACCTTTTCGAGGGCTGTAACTTTCTCGGGAAGCATTTTAGGGCTTATGCTCTAAAGAACTATTTGTCTTATTTTTATCTGTAAAATCAACCATCAAAGTTAGATACACTAATTTTTTGACACCCTGTATATTCAATCAGCATTCCTTTTTTCCTTGCTTTGTAGTTTCAAATTTTAAATCTTGTTTCAAACTTATTAAGCATATTGATATCATCTGTTCATTATTATTCATCATGAAATCTTTGCATTTCTTCTTACACAAAGAGTGACGCCAAAAACGTTTTTAAACACAGACATTTATGTATTTCCTAAAATTCTCTCCAATTTACTTTTTTTTTCTTTTATTTAGACCGAAAGAAGCGAAAGACATAAGACAGAACTTGAATTATGCCAACATATTTCAGATAATGCACTCTCTCAAGATAAAGACACTGATCTATTTTTGGATATGTGTAATTTCGAGGGAAAATTGAAAGGTTTTAAAAAGCAAGCTGAAGAAGAAGTTATGGAGGCTTTTACTAAAGGTAAATATTGATATTTTTTAATGTTATTAAAAGACAAACAAGTTTTTATTGTTTATTAATTCATCATTGAATATAAATAACTAAAGGAGTCAAATACTATTTATACAGGGTGTTTCAAAACAAATGCGAAAAACTTCAGGGGGCGATTCCTTGTTCAAAATAAAGGGTAGTTTGCTTCATAAACGTTGGGTCAAAAGTCAACCATTAGGGAGATATCGCGGTACAAAGATGGCGGAAAAATAATGTTTTTATTTTTTATCTTGAAAACGAAAAGAGATAGTCTAATGAAATTTTATGGGAGCATTACTGCTACGAAAACACACTTTCTGGTAATTTTTTCACTTTTTTAAAATGAGTGGAAGGGGTTGAAATAAACTACCCTTATCATTCTTGTTAACGAAATTTAAAGAAAAATCTTATCAAACACATGCAAAAAAAATTGATTTGGATAGCTTGGTTTATTTAGAAACTTTTTTATCTCTTGTGTTTCTTTGATAAAACTCGCCGATTTGAAATTAAAAAATAACATGTAAAGCATTACATACCAGGATCAAAAACATTTTTAGATAAAGAATCTAGTAATAATAACGATAATAATAAGAATCTAGATAATAACGTATTGCAGTAGAGTAATGTCAATAAAATAATATTAGAAACATCCTAAAAAGTGACAGCGGCCGACTAGATTTTTTCCTAAAAAAATTAGAGCAGCCCACTAGATTCTTTATCTAAAAATGTTTTTTGTCCTGATATGTAATGCTTTACATTTTATTTTTTAATTTCAAATCGGTGAGTTTTATCAAAAAAACACAAGAGATAAAAAAGTTTCTAAACAAACTAAACTATCCAAATTAATTTTTTTGCATGTGTTTGATAAGCATTTTTTTTTAATTTCGTTAACAAGAATGATAGGGGTAGTTTATTTCAACACCTTCCATCATTTTAAAAAAGTGAGAAAAATTACCAGAAATTATGTTTTCATAACAGTAATGCTTCCATAAAATTTCATTAGTCTATCGTTTTTCGTTTTCAAGATAAAAAATAAAAACATTATTTTTCCGCCATCTTTGTACCGCGATATCTCCCTAATGGTTGACTTTTGACCCAACGTTTATAAAGCAAACTACCCTTTATTTTGAACAAGGAATCACTCCCTGAAGTTTTTCGCATTTGTTTTGAAACACCCTGTATATTCATACTGACACATATTCATATTTTACATATTATTCATATACCTACATATTTTAAATTTATACCAATTTGAATTCCCGACGCGAGTTGTGCTTTCTGTGTATATTTTTTATTCATCATCATCATTCTCATTTTATTTTTTAACTCTATTTCATCATCATTTTCAGCTCATTCAACCATTTCCAATTATGGTGTAGCCTCCCTCACATATTTAGATACTCTCTTTGTAGTTGGGCCCATTGTCGTCTATTGTTTGCTATGCGGGCCCAAGTTATCTCTGCAACTTTCCTAATATCATGGTCCCATCTCAGGTTTGGTCTTCTTCTATGTCTCTTAATTCCTCGTGGATGCTATGCTGTAATTTTGATGGTTCATCTATTGTCCATCTTTTTTGCCAGGTGTCCTGTCCATTGCCATTTAAGGGATTTGACTCTGTGGATTACATTTATTACCTGGGTTTTTTGTCGTATCCACTCTATTCTTTTACGGCCACTCTTGGTTATTCCCAGCATATTTCATTCCATTTAGTGTTGTGCGACCTGCTTTTTTCTTATGATGCCCGTTGAAGTGTCCAGGTTTTGCATGCATAGATCATGACTGATAGTACACATTGGTCGAATGTCTTCTTCTTTAGATAAAGTGGTATTCTAGAGTGGCATTCTAGTAATATGATTAAGTTTTTTCCATAAGTACTCCATGCTAACTTAATTCTTCTGTTGATTTCTGGTAGTAGAGATCCCGAGCTGTGTATTTGTCGTTCCAAATATTTTGTTCGGCTGATTTTTTCTCTTGTTTCTCTTAGTGTAAGTATGTGATCAATCATGTTGAAACCGCTTCTAAAGCCTGCTTGTTCTTTGTTGTTACTTGTAGTATATTTTTTTATTATGTTTGTATATTTTATAATTCCCAAGTAGCATTTTCACGACTTGCGACCACATGTTTACTAAACACAACGTTGGATTAGTTACAAAAAATAGTTAGCAGCGTACCTTGGGTATTAAAATAAATGTAAACGTTGTTGTAACGTTGTGCCGATGTTGAACTAGTACTACAACAAAGTAAAAGCTTCTGGGACGTCGAATAAACGTTGTCTTGTAACCTTTTTTGCTTAAGTGATCTTTAGGTGATTCGGACAACGTAGTTACAATGTTTGACAATAAAGAGTTTTCCGACGTCAGTTTCAGGACCTATTCCAACGTTATGCAAACGTCGTCTGTTTTACTAATTCCAATGTTGTTTAAATTTCCTTATTCTTACGTTGGTAGGACGTCGAGCCACTACCTTTTTGCAACTGTATTGAACCATAACCTTAAATCTTAAATTTTTACTTCATTGTTCTGTTCAGTCAGACAGTTCAGTGCTGTGCTTGTTTTTATAAAAAAAACTTAATTGAAATGGGACGTAAGAAAGGCACATATAAAACTAAATTTAAATATACATCGACATATTACCGTTACTTTATCCACTCCCTCGTTTATTTAGAATACCTATAGGGGGCGGCACAAGCTAGACTCTAGGATGACTAAATTAGGCAATCTTGCGACTAGTATACTACCTGTTAAGGCTGAAATGCGACTTTATTAGTCCAGTATGCGATTACTCGAACTACTCCATCTTAATCTCCAAAACAACAAAGCGAAAGCCGCCATGTTGTTGAATAAGAAAATGTTTCGTTCCTAAAATAGCAATTCCTGCTTTTTGAATACATTAATTTGAAATATTTGACCCTAAACAACACGCGGAAACAATTTTTTTTCGACTGCGAATACATTATTCTCATTTTAGTAAAAAAAATTTCAAGAAACTTTTTAAAACTTCTTTAATTTTGACGCCCATTAGTATTTTTCAAAGTAGAAACAATACATTTATCAATAAAGTTGTTTGCGTTTAACTTTTTTGTCTTGGGTAACGAGTTACAGAGTTGGTTAAAATGTTTCAATAATTATGATCTTCAAACATCCTTCCACACTTAAATACTTTTGTTTTGTTTTCCTTTATTGCCATCTGGCATATGTCTCTAACTAAATCATAAAAATAATATTTTTACTATAATTATCCCAATTTAGGATAAAACGCGACTTAGACGCCATATTATTATAGTTTTGTATTTCTGTGAATTAGGATTTTAAACAACGTTGCAGTTTGTACTAAATTAGGCTGATAGCCAACGTAGGTATCCAACGTCGTTTCGACCCAAAAATTATTCTCCAAACTAGTGCAGACTAGGGTTGACACGAGGTTGTGCCGACGTTGCGCCCCAACGTTTGGTCGCGTGACACAACGTTGTCCCGACGCTGCGATCCAAATGCTGCTTGGGTTGGTTTTATGCAAAGTTATAAATCTGGAAAGACATTGTGTTGGAACTGGAATTCTAGTAATGTTAGTGTGAATTTCAGAGAGAGGCTTCAAACATATTTGCATGTGCTTTTAAGTTAAAATCATGTAAAATAACTTTTTTACTTTTAAGTTATTAATATAATACATATGACGTAGTAAACCGATAAAATATGAAATTGTTTTTCGTCATTCATTGGTACTTAGTTACTTCTTTTTTTGAGAGAATATATAGTAGTTTTTGGTATGTTCAATTATGTTTTACTTAAATTTGCATGTTTACGGTTTATGTAATTAAAAATTAATTGAAGGTCAAACCAGAAGATTTCCGAAAAATGAGGAAATCCAATCGAACAATCCCGTTGAAAATAAAGTAGAAAATGCAGGAAACGGAGATAATTCAGCACCTAGAAATTTCATTGAACTGAATAAAAGGGTAAGTAGACATTTAACGACAATGTTATTGGTCGTTCTAGGTCCCAGCTTTAATGCATGAGAAATTTAAGATTATTATTATACTTTACAATATTGTATTTTACTATCACCTTCGCGCAAATAAATTTATCTGTTCCACATCCATCGATCTAATACCTTGAATTTTCTCTTGCGTTAGTTAAATAAAAATTGAAAATATCTGTATATTTTATATTATTGAAAATAATATACAGGGTGGTCGGAATTGTAGTAGGAAACTTCGGCAGCATATTCTGCAGATAAAAGTAAGTAAAAAAGGCGGTATAAACTTGTCATAAAGTGCTTCGTTTTGGAGAGGATAGGGTGCTAAAGTTTCATTTTTATTTTTTTTCCAAATAAATATTTCTTTTGGTAAAAATCGCTACGATGAACCGTTCTCAAAGATATTTGAAACATACCCAAGTCAAATCTAAAAATGTATAACAAAAACCCTTCCAAGCCTTGTCTCTAAAGCAATATCGATTTAATATTCTATAATTTCAGTCCATTCGAGATCCAATGATGACTACTTGCTGTTTAACTGATGAAGAAAAAACTAAAATTGAGAACATGTTGAAGGATATAGGTAGGAAGTTATTAATTTTAATACTTTAAAATATTTTTTGGTTTATTCAGATATAAAAGGTCTAATTATTAGAGTTAACAAAAGGTTGTTTAGTTTAGGATACTTAGGAAACCGTTGTTAAATCAATAGGACTTGCTAACAATCATATATTGGACCAGTAAATATCGTATTTACAAAAAAAATTGTTGACTTTTGCTAGTAATTGTCGGTAGTCGATAGTAAATAGTAACATTTACTAAAAGTTATCAGTAAAAGTCATTCTATTAGTACAATAGGTAGCGTTGGTGGAAGTTATAACAACAAAACAAATTAAACTTTTGTGAACATTCAATCATCTTCATATTTAAGCTGGTCCACTCATCTTAAAATTACAAGAAAAGGATATCAAAACCTAAAATGTGAAAATTTAAATATTTGCCTTTATACTTTACTAGCGTGTACCAGCGACTTCGTTCGCGTCGAATTAATCATTTCTAATGGTGATGATAAAGCAAAGCAAGAATTTCCATTAACATACAAACTGGATAAAATTTTCTCACATTTAGGTCAGCATGAGAAAAAACAATATGGCGATATTATTATATAACTTGGTAATATTTGAGGGGTAGGACTTTCGAAAAATCCGTTTGCCAAAAATAAGTTTTTTTCGTCAAGCAGTTTAAGCAGAATCGTGATTAAGAAATTACCCAACTTTTTGGAACACCCTGTATGATTTTTTAAAAAATTTCAAAATATGTAAAAAAAAACAAATAAATTATGCTTGTTCAAGCGTTTTCCCGAAAGACTAACGGTTTTTTAAATAACAAATATTGTAATATTTGAGGGGCGTTTTCACCCTCTTGGAATTTGAGGTTCGAGAAACCCCTCCTTATCGAACCCTCTACACCCCACAGTCAATCCGTTTGCCAAAAATCAGCTTTAAACGTTAAGCAGTTTAAGCAGAATCGTGATTACTCAATGGTCATATTCTATGAAACACCCTGTATAAATTTATAAAAAATCTTAAAATATGTAAAACAACAAAATAAAATATACGTGTTTAAAAGTTTTTCCGAAAAACTCACCGGTTTTTAAATAAAAAATATTTTAATATTTGAGGGATAGTTTCACCCCCTTAAAATTCGAGTTTCGAAAAATCCCTTCTTATCGAACCTCTACACCCTAAAGTCAATCTGTTTTCCAAAAATCAGCTTTTTACGTCAAGCGCTTTGAGCAGGATCGTGATTAATCAATGACCAGATTTTTCGAAACACCCTGTATACATTTTTAAAAAATCTTAAAGTATGTAAAAAAACAAAATAAAATATACGTGTTTAAGCGTTTTTTTCGGAAACTTGACCGTTTTTTAAATAAAAAATATTGTAATATTTGAGGGGTGGTTTCACCCTCTTGGAACTGGAATTTCGAAAAATCCCTTCTTATCGAACCTTTACACCCTAGAATCAACCTGTATCCCAAATTGAGCTTCTTACGTTGAGTGGTTTGAGCAGGATCGTGATAATCTCAAAAATCATCAAGCGTCCTATTTACTATTGGATAACTGACTATCAATGAACACGAACATGCACGAATTAGTTTTAATTGCTTTTATTTCAACTTTATTGTTCGTGATTCTCTAGTTATTTTTTTATTTTAATATAAATTTGGCTATTTTGAATGTCTTGATTTTAAAACTGATATCTCACGTCAAATTTTCTGCCAGTTATTGTATTATTGTATCGATCAGTTCTGATACAGTTACCAACAGCTGCTAGAAGATAGTCAATAAGTAAAGCGAATGTGAATTTATTCACTAGTATAAGTTTGTTTCAAAATTAGTTGTTGAACTTTAACTGGCATAGTTTTAGCAAATCAGTTAATGTGAGATTTTACTAGTAATTGTTAACATTTTCAGCTTTTATTTAAACATATAAACAGACAGTAGTATCGACTGACTTATGAAGGTCTATTGTACCACGTTGATGTCCTAGTTCCTAGATTTTCTTAAACATATAAATATATATTAAAATTTATAAAATATTAATACAATTTTTATATTTTCAGATGATTTTCAGTTGGATGATGGTCAGCTTTCAGTATGGTCTGACTCAATCAAAGATGTCAACGAGCTTGAAGAAAATAAGGAAAACATGATAGTGGATCTTACCACTAATGCATTTTCAATATTACAAAATGAAAAAGATAGAATGGATGAAATTAATACTCAGTTACAGGTAGGCACCCAAAAAATGATTTTTCATAAAATCTTATATTAATCACCCATTTCATTACTTATTTGTTACTGATATTATTTATAAAGAGCTTAGTATTTCTTGAAGAACTGCATCATGAGACTTGGCTTTTTTTACATTTTAAGATTTTGACAGGATTAGCAATTTCTACTGCTTTTCTACAGATTACAATATTTTTGTTAACACAAAATAATAAAATTATAATAAATCCGGATAATCATTTTTAGAGAATAACATTAGAAAAAGGTGATGCTGAAGAAGCACATTCAAATTCAAGGACAACAATAAACCCTGTCAAGGACGAGGAGTTTTGGAAAAAGTGTATTTTAGATCAATCTCTAAAGGATATCGATGAAAAACTGGCTAAGATTCACCAAAGTAATGTTGAAGCAGAAGAAAAATTAAAATTCTTCTTAGAAAACAATAACATTGAAGAAGAAGAAGATATTATTTTGATATAATGCGTGACCTTAAAACTATCACTTTGGTATAATAACAGTACTTAATTTTGTCAAGTTTTTTTTCTAATAAAAATAAAATTTCAATATTTATTGAATTCATTTTTAAAAGAAATAAATTTATATTTATTTTAAGTAATTTGTTTTGGTGGTAATGGTAAATTACATAAATGTATATCTTATTTCTTGACATTTCTGTGACATATTTTTAATCACTATTTTTGTAATAAGCAAATTAAACATATTACAAAAAACAATGATTTTTTTTCAAACATCACCAAAGTATTAATTTTTGCGACGTGATTGACAATATAAAAAAGTCATTTTAACGCCTAGGCATAAAAGTAAAGCACTTTTACGCCTACGCACAAAAGTACGAACTATATTATTAAACCGACATAAAGTGTCAAATTCAACGAGCGTAACTATAGTTTCTCGATATACAGTGTGTCAATTTTAAAACTTCCCACCCTTAATATCTTTCTTGCAGTTAAAAATATGAAAGATCGGAACATGCCTGCATTGAGATTTTGGTTTTCAGGCTAGTGTTTCTACAAAAATTATTGCAGTGAATCTCCTTGTAGTACAAATGATTAGAAGATGAGGTGGCAACATGGACGTAGCCATTACATTTTTTTAGGGGGTCGAAATTCGAAAAACTAATAAACAGAAAACATCATAAACATTAACGTTTCCTTTCTCAAATTCGAATGCAACCTCTAATCAGTTTCACAGGAGGAATAGTTAACAGTCCAGCAGGACGGTGTTCCAGCTCATTATTTTTTTCGGGTCCGACAGTGGTTAAACGAGAAATTTGCAGGTACATGGATTGGCAGAAGTGGACCAATTGAATGGCTTTCAAGATCACTTGACTTTTTTTTGGGGGGGACATCTTAAATCCATTGTTTATAAAACACAATCTACTGATATTGATGATCTTAAAAGGCGAATTACAGCAGAATGCCAGTCAATTCCCGGTGTAATTTTCCGAAATGTTAGGGAGGTGTTTGAAAACAGACTTTATTACTGTTTACGGGAAAATAGACAACATTTTGAACAACTTATAAGATAGGGCGTAAGTGGTGTAACCTAATCTTCTAATCATTTGTACTACAAGGAGATCCATTGCAATAACTTTTGTGTAAACACTAACCTGAAAACCAAAATCTGGCACGTTTAATTGTTTCTGCACCTTTGAAACGCGATTATTCGGAAACCTCTGAATAAAAAGCAATAAAGTAGGATACCACTGAAAAGAGAATTAAACGTCCTTTAAAACGATGTGCCACTTGACCCCCATTCCCATTTAAGATTGTAAAGGTGACATCTACCCCTCCTAGGGGGGTAAAAAAAGACTAAAAATATTCATTTTATGTGTCCCCCTTACAAATAAAATTGACGTGTCTTTCCAATTTTTCATATTTTTAACTGCAAGAATGATATTAAAGGTGGGAAGTTTTAAAATTGACACACTGTTTAATTACATACAAGGTATTACTTTTAATTTTTTTTATATTATTTGAAACATTTGAAATCGTTTAAAAATTATTTGTGGCGTTTGAAAAAAAAATAGCATGTTCTATTCGGAGTGAAAATGACTTTTTGTGCCTCGTCTGTATGTCAAACGTCCAGCTTCGCCACAAAAAGTGTCATTTTTACTCTTTGTAAAACAATATACTAAAGTAAACGCCACCAATGTTTGGGAGTGATTCATCGCTTGATGAAGTTAGAATCCACACGCGCTATCATTTTTACATTAAAAATAAGCAGAAAATACGCAGACGTAGGTTTTAAAGGCCCGGTCTAATCATCTGCCTGCGCTCCTCCTACTTATTCTAAAATGTTAGCGTGATTGACAAAGACGGTACTATATCGCGTTTCTTTGATTGATTCGTTTTTGTGCGTCAGTCCATTGGTGTGCTTGCAGTGAGGCCAATGGGGCATTCCAGTTTATATTTATAACCAAATATATGTTTTGAACATGATACTCAAGAAAAACCACAAGAAATGGGTAGCCCCTGAAAATAAAGATTCTTATAAGGAATGTATAGCCTCAAATCTAAATTATGAAAATACTACTACGATAGACGAAATATACGAAAACATCAAAGGGGCCACTCAAACGGCTATCGAAAAATGTTGTCCCAAAAAAGTAAAAGAACAAAAACTGAATCAAAGAACAAAACTTTTAATGAAACAGAGAAGAGATATGGAGGACAAGAGTACACAAGAATATAGAACTTTAAACAGTGAGATATCCAAAGAAATCAGAAAGCATAGGAGGCAACAGAATACGGAAAAAATTAGGAAAGTCATAGAGAAGAATCAAAGTTTGAAGATATTGAGAAATAGTACAATGGGAAGAAAAGAAATACAAAAGATCAAGGATATACACGGCAACATAGTAACACACAAACAGGAAATCCTACACTCTATTAAACTTTTCTATCAAGAACTTTACACATCAAAACAGCAGGGGATCAGAACCGACATCCGAAAGGTAATAAATCAGGGGTCGGAAGAAATTCCAGAAATAACCGAGGAAGAAATTATCAGTGCCCTTAGAGATATGAAAAACAATAGAGCTGCCGGCGACGATGGACTGGTAATAGAGTCAATTCAAGAAGGAGGACCAGAAATCATCAAAGCTTTAAATGTCCTATTTAATAAATGCATTGAAGAAGAAATAACCCCATCGCAGTGGAACAACGCAACCATCATTATTGTACACAAGAAAGGTGACGTTACAGACCTTAAAAACTATAGGCCCATCAGCCTTCTTAGCCACGTATACAAATTATTTACTAAAATACTCACCAAGCGCTTGACAAATAAAATAGACTTTTTTCTTTCGAGCGAACAAGCAGGTTTCCGATCAGGTTACGGAACAAATGACCATCTTCTAACAGTCAAGGTACTTATCGAGAAATGCATTGAGTATAATGGACCACTAATGCTTGTCTTCGTGGATTTCGAGAAGGCCTTCGATTCGGTAGACTAGTGGAAGCTTCTAGAGACACTAAGTGAGAGTCGCATCGATCATCGATACTCCTCAATCATAAGACATATATATGATAATGCCACGGCAAACGTCAGAATATCGACAAATCAATGCACAGATAAATTCAATATCGATCGAGGGGTAAGAGAAGGCGACACACTGTCCCCTAAACTATTCGTTGCTGTGCTAGAAAGTATGTTAAAAATGATAAACTGGGATTCAACAGGAATTAACATCGATGGCAAATTGATAAATCATCTCTGTTTTGCAGATACATTATTTTAATAACAGACAACATACAGGAGGCACAGAATATGCTGGATATGCTGAATGATGCTTCGGAAAAAGTCGGTTTGAAAATTAACTTGTCAAAGACACAATACATGACAAACCTAGTACTAAGTGGAAATTTAAACATTAATAACATACATTTGGAACAAGTGCATATATATATAAATACTTAGGGCATGAGATCGGTATTAGAAGGGATAATCAGACCCACGAAATTCTACGAAGAATAGGTTTGTCGTGGGCGGCATTTGGCAAACTAAGGCATATACTGAGATCTGATATTCCCATATGTTTAAGAAGAAAGATCTTTAACCAGTGTGTCTTGCCTGTCCTCACGTATGGAGCTGAAACGCTTACTTTGACAAAAAAGAACATACATAGAATACAGGTCATGCAACGGAAAATGGAAAGGTCTATGTTGGGAGTTACTCAGAGATAAAATACCCAATCATACAATACGAAATCGAACAGGAGTAAGAGATGCGGTGATATCTGTCTTACATCTTAAATGGAATTGGGCAGGACATGTGGCTAGGATGACAGATGGACGGTGGACAAAGAGACTTGTGGAATGGAGACCGAGACAGGAGGCCTATAGAAGCAGAGGACGACCTCCTAGTCGATGGACAGATGACATTAAGAGGGTGGCTGGAAACTGGATTCAAGTGGCACATAATAGAAGGAAATGGCTAGAGTTAAGGGAGGCTTTTGTTCAGCAGTGGACGGTATAAGCTAAATGATGATGATGATGATATGTTTTGACAAGACTTTGACAGTTTGCTGGAATTATTATTGATTATTTTATTTTTGTGTTTTAGTATAAATTTGGTATGTTTTTTAATATTTTTTGTTAGTGAAACCATCGGTAAGTACGAGATTTGAGCTAAGGGGTAAATTAACAGATAAATTTAGTGTGTAAGATGGTCTTACTCCTTGGTGCTTTTGTTTGTAGTTGAAATTTTACCGAAAATGCCCGGCAAACGACTAAATGAAGGGCAGAAAGAATTCATTATGCGGTTGGTTGCTTATTTCTTGCGGGAACGCGACAACGATGGCCCTTTGCTCCCTGTTATATCAGTCCAGGAGGTACTATTGCATAATTTATTAAAAAAGGCAGGTTCCCAAATAATTATTTGTTTACAGCGCGTTGCCGCCGCCTTGGGCATTTCTAAAAACACCGTCTCCAAAAACATAAACAACAGATTATATATTGATTATTATATGACTTGAAACACCACGGCACTGGAATGAAGTTTTATGTGACCTTGAACAGATTAGTTCACATGGTAGCAACCGATAAATCACTCCCAAACATTCGTGGCCTTTACTATATTACATTCTTGTCCTATTATGTACACTTAGATACGTAAGTATCTATGTTTGGACAAATACAGAAAATATCAATAACAAAAATATATGAAAATTGGAAAAGAAAACATACCAAAACAAAAATGAATAAAAAATACAGTAAAATAGTAATAAACAATCAAAAAAGTTTATGACTTGGGGTACTAAGAATTACAAATAACTATAAACTCAAATAACTTAAAACCATGACAGATATTTTAGTAAGTCTCTATGAGAGTGTCTATTAAATGACGCTATAATTATAAAAGAGAATAATCTACTTTTTTTGAGTTTTTACGTTTTGAGCTACTAAGTAAATATAAACAGTTAAGAATAAAGTATTATAATTAGTAAAATATGTTGTCATTATAATTATCTATTATAGCAATAAATATGTCTAATCTTGATACGATCACTATAGATGGTGATAGGTAATTGAATATTTAACAATTTACAACA